TGAAGACCCAACACCTTTCAAACACACACACACACACACACACACACACCCACCCACCCACACACAACCCTATACCCAGTCACAATTTAGCTTTGAACATTTGCACACTAATGCATTATCTTTCTCTATTTTTTGACCTACCGTCCACAGCTGAAACAATATATTTTACTGCGTGACCCTCAAAGCGCTATTTTACAACCATGCAATTATCTAACCACGGAAGTAGGCGGATCTGTGAGGTGATTGGTTGATAAAACTCTACAAACATCATGTCAACATCAAGTCTGTAGTTTTGTTAAAAGAAAAAGTGTAGTTTTTTTATATGTACAGCAGCATAATGTAGCACACGGTGTGTATCAAAAGGTACACGTTTGTAGTAAGTTGTCATTAACAATTTCATATGTTTTCACATTTTTAACCAGCTAGGTGTAGCCATGAATACAAATTGCAGACTGTACAAAACGTCTTTATAATCTTTTTTCTTTTTCTTTTTCTTTTTCTTTTTCTTTTTCTTTTTCTTTTTCTTTGCTTGACCAGGTGCCAGCCTTGTGCATGTGACCCAGTGGGCAGTGTCAATGGTTCATGTCATCCAGACTCAGGAGTGTGTGTGTGTAAGCTGCTGGTAACTGGACACAAGTGTGACATATGTCAACCTGGAGCGAGTCATTTTGACCCAGAGAACTACTTTGGCTGCAGTAGAGGTCTGTTTTACATGCTATCTCTCACACACACACACACACACACAAATCACATTGTTAGCTAATATATTTATTGTACAGACAAGGATCAGTCTTCCTATCTAATTTTCGTCAAGAAAACATAACCATATTGTTTGTAACTCTTAAAGCATCAGCAAAGATTAGGTATATCAATGATGGCGGTCTAATTTTGGGTGGCTTTCTGACTTATTGTTGACACTAAGAATACACTTACACACAATTAACATGCTCTAATTGCAAACCGTTTGGCCCTGTAAAATTACATAATTTACCTCCCTCTGTTTATGTATTTATCTCTTTATCTTCCACTGTTTGTGTCTCTGCCTGTGCAGCGCCCTTCCAACAGCCTGTACCAGTAGGTTTTGCTCTCAGTTATTCTTCCATTCGTCTCTCTTGGCATCCACCTGACTCCCCAAACTCAAACAGACTCAACTACACACTCATCAGGGATGGACAGTCAGTGCATAGCGTTCAAAGTCTCTATCCTTTCAGTAAGTAGCCACACAGGTTTTCAAACTACTTAAATTGCGTTCTTACTATTTCAGATACACATAAATCCACTCCAAACTAATTTCCCAACTTTGTCCTTCCTTCCTCCTTCTTTTCTTAAGGCCATGAATCATTTGAAGACACTGGTTTGTTTCCCTACACCAACTACTCTTACTGGCTTGTCACAGCTAATGTGGCCGGTGTGACAATAAGTGCATCAGCCTCATACCAAACTTTAGGTGCACCACCTGAAGCAGAACAGCTCCATTTAAACCTTGTGGGACGACCTGGTCCAACCACCGCCAGCTTTAACTGGAGCACCCCACGAAATGACACAGGCCCAGTGGAAAGGTAAGTAAGGAGCAACAATAGCCTGTTTCCAGACCTCTCAACCACGGACAATGCAGTTGACATGGAACATTTCTTAGCCCGTCACACCTTGTGACATCCTAGTACTAGTTTTTAACTGAACCACATTACAAAACCATGTGGTCTAGTAGAGTGATAGGGGCAGATGGGAAAATGAAGAAATGAGGAATTGATTGTCACATTTTCTTTGTCTCCCACAGGTTTGTGTTATCCTCCACGGAGTCATCTAATGGAGCAGAGCCCATAATTCACTACACAGGCTTATCTACAGAGGCGGTGGCAAGTGGCCTAAAGCCCTTCACCCTATACACTGCAATACTGGAGGTAGGTGGGGCAAACAGACAGTGATTTTAGTGCCTGCATCTCTGCAAAATAGATCCAACAACATTGCCTTCAAAAGAATATAGCAAGAATGCAATTTTTATGTCAAATGTACGGCCTACAAAATGAAAATGACAAAATCATAACCTTGTCTCCAGGCTTGTTCTTCTGGGGGTTGCACTTCTACCCCACCACTGTCTTATCTGACAGCCTCTGCGCCCCCACAAAACCAACCTGCCCCCACAGTCACTGCAACAGGACCTCATACACTTCATGCTTCCTGGGAGCCCCCCACTCAGCCAAATGGTAGGACCCCAAACATACACATATGCATACTGTACTGTTCTCAACATATAGGACTTAATACAGAAACACATGCACAAACACAAACTGTACACATATCACACAACCATGCAATTAAGAATGCACACATGTATCAATTATACAGTAGAATAATCACACACATTTTTAACTTATATGAAACACTTGCCTAGTAGCGTGGCTTATAGGCTTGTGTCACTGAAGACTGAATCAACTAACACCACTACACACACACACACAGAAATATGCACTGAACTGGAACTGCCTTTGGTAAATCCAGAGAGCTTTGTAATGGCTCTAAGGCTCAGTGTCATACAAAGCCCTGTAACCTGGGTTTCTCTCTCTGTTTGTGTCTCTCGTGTTTTTCTCTCTCTGTTAATCGGTTTCCCTCCCAGTGTCATACTAAGCTTTGTTACATGGGTTTCTCTGGGTCTCCTTCCTTCATTTCCTCTGTCATCACTTCAGTCAAGAATGGTTGATATTGCTCCTGACTGGACTCAACTTTAATCTCAGTCCTGACCTGTACGCCTCTACCATTTTTGATCTGGGTGTGTTCACTGATTTGGCCAGCCCTGTCAGTTTTCACGATCTCAAGGTGCAATTTAGCCTCTTCACGTTTGTGTTTATTTTGATGTTTGTGATCACTGCAAAATGAAGAGAAAGTGAAGAAGAGATTGGCTGGAAGAGATCAATTTTATATACAGTGCAACAGTGCATCTGTCAACACTAGTTTTTGTTTTTCCTGATTAAACGGGGGGATGGTACAATTACAGTGTTACTTGGTGTTGGAATTACTGCTTAGACCCTCTCAATCCTGATTTGCAAATGTTGAGTCTCTCCATAGTAATCTGTTTGGATTCTTGTTAATGTCATCTGCCCAGCTTTTCAGCACTACCTTTTGTGGATTTTTCCTCAGTATTCCTCTTCTCCATGATGCCTTTGGATTGCTAGAAATTGACAAATACATGACATGTCATTGAAGACATTTTAAATTTTGGAATTAAATGATCATTCACAGACATGAAAGATATATAGATATATAATATCACTACTTTAATTAATATACCATTATCAATGGTTGCTAATGATATATGAACATTTAGAGGAACAGATATATCAGCCAAAGCACATCAGTGATTGATCATGCAAGGTCTATTATTTACTGTCCATTTTCCAACTTTTTATATACTTAATAAAGAGGTAGAGAGGATTGTCAAAAGTTCAGTAAAGTAACTAAAGAATTTTGGTGGCCTCAAGTTAGTTTAGAGACTTTATATAAGGATTCTAATAAACTATGACTGAAACTAAACTCAATGTTGTAGGAATTACTCTGTATGAAGTATATTAATATTAAAGGGAAGAAATAGAGGAGACAAACTTGAGAAAAAAAATATGCAGAGTAAGAAATAAAGACTTCCTAAAAAGGAAAAAAATATAGAGAGAGCACACTAAAGAGAGGGTACATGGGGTCTTTTAACAAGGGGTCCACGTTAAGACTCATATTATTTGATTTTATTTGTATTTTATACTTATAACAACATTTGGACACTCAGCTATTCCATAGTGGGTCTCTAAATCTCTTATTGTGTTTTGGTGCTGCCTGCTCTGTCCTCATTCTAACCCAGCTCTGTCATTTTGCTATTAACGAGTGGAACAGAGCATGAGAGATTAGAACAATAGCCTGGTTTCCACCAGAGTGCTAAACAGGACTAGCCAGGACTTAATCATTATCAGCCTGTTTTCTACTACAGGGCCAAATACTGGCCAGGGCTTTGTCATTATTTGTGGTGTTAGATTTTCCTCAAAACAACATTTTTGTATAAAAAAATGTTTTAGCCTCCTGTTGCCAAGAGGGATGAGTATTAAGCAGGGCTACAGTTTCTAATACACACTTGAAGCTTTGATTATTTTATCATAAACAGGCTGAATTGGCCCTGGGAATAAGAAATAACTCTTTAGTGAGGATGTGTGTCATGTGTTGTGGACATAAGTACTTGCAAACTACTGTACTTTGCTTTCTGTACAGGTGTTATCACAAAGTATGAGGTCTTTCTACGTGGACCAATGGAATCACTGAACCTCTCAAGTCCTACCGTTGAGAAGAGGGTGTTCTTCAGCTCCGGTTGGCTGGATCCAAGTGCTTCCCCAGAAGCACAGCAAAGCGATAGGAGCACAGTCGCACCCCCTGAGAGCAGTACCATTGTAGCAGATCTGCAAGCATTTTCCACCTATCAGATGAGAGTTTTGAGCACCAATATGGCAGGAAGTGTCACATCAGGGTGGACCACAGCTCGCACCATGGAGGGAGGTTTGTATAGATTGTAATCATAGTTAAACTAAGCTTACATTGGGGCACCCTGGAGGCTCACCTGCTAGAGCATGTGCACCATGAACAAGGCTACTAGTACTTACCTTTCCTGTCTCTCTTTAGCTTTTTCTATCCAATAAAGGTAAAATGACCAAAAGAAGAAAAAAAACTAAAGCTTATGTATTTTTTTAAGTTAAATCAATTTATTATTCAATTTTCAGTTTAACAAAACAATGGCAAATTACATCAGGAGGGAGGGTTTCCCCATAGAGAATCAGTCTTTTTGTTTTTTTCCTTCAAGTGTTGTTAAAGGATAGACTCTTTGCCAGTTGGCATCCATCATTGCTTAACAGTGAGGCCAGTGTGGGTTTTTCTTTGAGCTGGATTTTTTCCCATGGCCATAAGAGGCTGGCTCCATAAAAAGCCCATACTACGTCATTATTCCCATTCAAAACCTCCCACGGTCTCTTTTGAAATTTAAAGTAAATGTAGTTTTTATACTTGAAGTTATTTTGTAAATCTTACTTCCTCTAATGTAAATCTGTTCAGCTGTGGTTAGGGATTAGAAATTGGTTGTTGCCGATCATCCGTCCTCAAGCAGAAGAATGCAGCAAGTTGTGGAAAAATAATAAAATTGTTCAATGACAGAAATCCAAGATGTGAGTAACCACCAAAGTATAACTTCAGTGATGTTTTGGTCAAAATCTGTCCACCAAAGAACCTAACTCATGAATGTAAAAAAACATCACATTAAATAAAAAACAACAACAAGCATTTGTCAAAAGGATTGAAAAAAAAAGGACGTAAGGAAGTAGGGAGGAAATAAAACTGCATGTGGGGGAAGGGAAACTCATTAAGGTATTTGAATTTCAAATAGATGATATGGCTCATTAGGACTAAACGATTGCCTCCAACATCACTCTAAGCTATGTGTCTGGATAACAAGCATATGATAACACCATTTTAAACGTGGAGTGTGTGTCAGTGTTTGTGCGCGTACATGTGCTAGAAAGAAAGAATATGACTGTGGTAATGTCTGCAAAGAAATCACATTTCACAGTATTTCACAGCTAGATGCCATCAACAGTAGAATAAAAGAATCCTTCTCTCTAATCTGTTGTGTAATAGTGGCTCTCACAACTGTGGAATTACAGAATACCTAAATCCATTAAATCCACATAATATCCACTAAGTCTTGATTTTAATGTATGTCTTCATGTGTATTTTATTTTTTAATTAACTTACTGTGAGGTTCATTTTTTATTTTTAGGGTAGCAGTCAAAGGAAAACCACCAAAAATATGAAGAACTCAACAACAGAGTTTAGAAGTCTAAATTTACATATCTCAGAGATTAGAAACGTGTCAGGTTTTAGTGTCAGATAAATGTAATAATACAAGAACTTCATCTTTGTAGATTCACCACTGATCAGAAAGTTGAATTCATTGTAGAAGCTAATTAAATACCAATTAGATATTAATCTAGCTAGAATGCAGGCAGTGATTTGAGTCATATTCTCAGTTTCTCAGTTCTTACCTGTATAAACTGGCTTACCCTGTTGCTATTGCTATTTTATCTGCCCACACTGTACTGAGTGCAACCAAGGCACTCTAAGAAATGTAGCTATTAGTTACTGAAGTTGAAGTCGAGGCATATTGACATGCATGGGTGCACCAATGTGATGGTGATTTGCAGTATTTAAGCTAAACACTTAGAGATGTCATACAGTGATGTAAGGAGAGATTTTGCTTAAATGTTTGCAGCAGAAAAATAATTTCTTATTTATAATTAATGATAGTCTGCACATTTATACATTGTGAATAGTTTTCACTTAAAATTGCTGACTGCAAAAAACTGTAAACAATTTCTAAGTAAAAGAGTTGCTCCAGTACTGCCTAAAATGTGGTATCGGCGAGTACGCATCTGTGCCCCGATCTGATATCTCGTTATGTATTAGCCACGGGACCTTGCTACTTTCTGGCAGTGTTTGCCTTTTATCCAGGATAGCAAAATTATGCTCCCCTCTACTGAGCCAGGCCATACAGCAATGTTAACAATAATACACACTTAAAAGATAATAATATACTGTATTTATATATAATCTCTAACGCACATTTATCGGATTGGTACTCAGTATTGGCAAATACGCAAAGTTTAGGTATCAAAATAAATGTTCTTGAATAATGGATTAATTGATTTAAACAGGTAAGAGATATTGTGATGAGAATTAGCATTAGTTAACTTATCTATATTTCAGGGGCTGGTTCTTAATGTGACGTTCTACTCCTTTTTATGTATTCTGAAAATGTTACAACATATTTCATGATTAAAGTTTTTAATGATTAATAGATTTGTAATATCTTAGCAAATATTTTTTTTTATCATGGATTGTATGAAATGATATGTTATGAGTCTAAATATAGTGTGTGATGTGTATATTTTCATGTGCATATGTGTGTGTGGTCATGTTTCCAGTCCCAGAGTTGATGGCTCCTCCAGAAGTGTCTTCACTGTCATCCACCAGTCTCAAAGTTGCGTGGAGCTCCACTGAAGGTCAAGGGATCATCGCCAGAGGACAGGTCGCAGAATATCGCGTCAACTTGCTCACTGAACAGACCAACAATCCCTATGCTCCACCGCTTATTAGCCAAGTAAGACAGAGAAACACACACACACACACACGTACTTGCACATAATGAGTAGGACAACTCTGAAACTTTAAAGCTTACCTATAGCCTTCAATTGAGAATTTTATGTATTTGTAAGTAAACGCTGTTTCACTATGCTTCTCTTGTGTAGAACATTCTCTCGCCTGCATCAGCAATAAAGGTTTGGAAGCGGAGAATGAATAAATATATAAATGACCCAGATGATGAGTGTGTACCGTGTATCAAGAGAGAGTCCTTGAATTGCCAGCAGCCCTGACTTTGATTACAAGTTTTCAAGCCCTTTGCTTACATGTCACACTCCTTCCTCTTCCCCTAAAAAACTTTTTCCCAGCTGTCACTATCTAAATAAAGTAGAAATGCCAAACATATAATAAAAAATAAAAAAATCAAGGCAGATTATGTTTTATTAAACATGGTGGTCTGGTGGTTATAATTGTTACATAATTAATTGTGCAGCCGTAGTGTCAGGTCACGTGAACAGCCACCACAGCATCAAGTGCGTGTCTGTTCGAAGTTAAAGTAAGTTAAAGTACTGAGGTTAGTATGTAGAGCTCCCTTTTCTTCAATAGCTTTATCCCCCCTTATTAAATAAAACATTTAGTCAGTTTTAATTTCCTCTGTGTTTCTCTTTTTCAGGTCTTGCATAGGGCGGGACCATCGTCACAGCCTGTTTATGTAGTAAAAGGACTGAAGCCTTACCATGTGTACAACTTCACTATTACACTCTGCACAAAGACAGGTTGCATTACCAGTCTGCCAAGCACAGGACGGACCCTACCAGCAGGTAAAACAAAAAGATTTGCAGACTAACATAAACACACGTACATATGGCAGCACAACAGTAATCAACTCTATACAAACTAAGTCTGAAAATAGGGAAGTGCTGAAAAGGCTAATACATTATCTAGTATTCATAACAACTGACATATGCACACACGCATCCAAAAGCACACAGTCAGTCATTGGGTACTTGAGTAGCGACAGCATTGGTTGTGTTAACCAGAGGGGATATTCATGGCGCGCCGCAGTAAAAACACTTTACTGTTAATTACAAGGAGAAAAATGTGGCGTACCACACACTTCCTGCTGGCCATGAATCAAACACACACACAGTTACAGAAACACACACACACACACACACACACACACACAAAATGTCTCGCTCTTTAGATTTATAACCATTATGGAAGTAGAATGAATTAGCTGTGTTTAATAACTCAAGTGCAAATCTATGGGACTGAGATGAGCACTAATTGATCAGTGCAGTCTGACTCAGACAGAATTTTTATTCACTGTCTTTATCTGTCTGTTTCTCTCTGACCGTCTGTTGCTTTCTCACTTTTCACTCAATTCATCCTTCACTTCTATCTCTACCTGGCGCTTTCACTTGAACACAAAATTGCACATGGCAGCAGAGGAACATGAATCACTCCGCAATATACATATTGCAATCACACACACACACACACACACACACACACACACACTTGACCCTCCAACACACTTTTCCATCTGTTCACTCATGGTTTCTACTCTTGGTGCTCATTTTATGTTTTTTTCTGTTTTGTTTTCGTTTTGCTTATCCCTTTAGGTGAGTAGACAATGGGTGCTCTGAGTGGTTGTGAAAAAAAAAATCCTTTCATCTATAAATACTTGCTCAGGGATTTGAGCTTTTGAACGTACTCTAAACAGCTACATCTGTTGACACACCGAATATTTTCATTTCATACAATTCTCAAAAAGTCCATCCTTGTGTTTATTGTGATTAATAATACTTCATATTGTAATCGGTGGACTTTTTAAATGTATTTTTAATGGCTACATCTGTTGACACAGTGACAATGTTTATTTCAAGTGATTCCAAAGACTTCTCTTGACTGTAATACAGTACAATACAATATGGCTTATTGTACCCAGTTGACTTTTTGAATGTATTTTTAACAGCCACATCTGTTGCTACCATTTTGTTTCATCCAACACCAAAGATGTCCCTTGTTTCAACTATAAGAAATGATAATGGCATATGCCGTTTGGCAGATTTTTTTTTTTTTATCTCAAAACAATTTGCATAGCATGTGCTAGTCCATTGGGTGTTGAGCTTCTGTTGTAGCGTTACATATCATATCACTTTTTCTCATTCAGTTTAAAACTATCATCTCGAGAGTTAACCGAAAATATTTAGTAATAATTTTAGAGCATAATTTAAGCTATTGGGAGGTGCATACCCTCTTCATGATGTATTAAAACAGTCCTTCTCTCTCTTTAACAAATGAACAGCAGAGAGCAAATGAGCTGTAATCATGAGATAAAATACAGTTGTGAGAAGCTGTTGCATTTTGCAACCATTTATATTTGCTGTACTAGGATATTTGTGCATTTCTAAAAAAAAATTTACATTTACAATACCATTCAATGTTTTACATGCTCTTGCTAATTTTTTACAGCTACTGAAGTTTTAGTCAACCATATTACAAATCATACTACAGTGTTTTAAACTTTTCTATGTGGATTTCTGCTCTTACAGACAGCCTTAGAAGTATAAGTATCTTCAACTGATTTTGTCTGGTCATAATTTTAACATATATATTTCATCTCAGTTTAGTTTTATGTGTCTTTTTGTCTTCAGAATCAGAAGTTTTGCCTGTAAAACTCAAATCAACCCTTGTTTTCCTCAGCCAAATATTCTTCCTCTTATAGAGAAACCCAAATCCCTTCATACTTTGTACACATTCTTATCCTGCAGAGAGAAATCCAAACAAATCTTAGTCCTTGAACAAAAAACTATTTTTTTAATATGCTACCCAATCGCTTACCTTATTATTTTTCTATAACAAATTATATTACTGATGTAAAATTTACAGAGCTGAATGTATAATAAGAAGTATGTATGTAATCCCTTAAAGGACCAGTATGTGGGCATCTAGTTATGTAGTTGCCTCCCCTTGCCCCACCCTCACCCACCATTCCAAGCATGTAGGAGAAACTACCGTGGCTGCAAAACTCGTCTTTATCTAGAGCTATAGTTTGGTTTGACCATTCTGGGCTACTGTAGAAACATGGCAGTTCAACATGGTGGACTCCATGGTAGGCAACCCACATTTTCTGTAGATAAAAACAGCCCATTATAAGGTAACAAAAACACAATTCTTATTTTCAGGTTATTATACAATAATTAAAACCAATCAATATTATCTTCCATTTATGCCAATAGATCCTCCTACATGTTACACACCAGACCTTTTGTAATTGTAGACTCTTTAATTAACCCCCAATTTTAATAAAGAAACTGAAAACTTGGAGAAATGGAATGAACATTGTGATATCTCCTCAACGAAACTGTTTGTGGAGGAAATTATCCTCACATTAAATGGTATTCCTGGTAAGGTGTACTTGAGCGTGGTACTGATGCACTGATAAATCTGCCACACATAAGGCTGGGCCATTAGAGCCAGCTACCATCTGCTGTAAGTGAGCAGACAGCATCTGCGAAACCACTGGAATTACACCAAAGCACATGACTGAACATTAGCGTGCACACTGAGACAGACGTAACGACACAAGGAACGTGCTCTTCCGTACGTGTGTGGATGCATTTGCAATTGTTTCAATGTGTGTGTCTCTTTCCACAAAGTTATCGATCACGACGTAAAGTGAGTGGCTAATCAGGGGCTGATGGTGATGTTTTATGTATCCTACATCCATAAAAGCTTGTTCTACAAGACATACACACAGAAAGACATACACACATACACACTCACACTGTAACACCACTCAACAGAACAGGAACTTTATTGATTTACGCATAATTGGCCTGAGGCCCTTCTTGAGGAGAGAAATATGCATAGCAAGGGATCGCCATGTCAATAAGTGGTGTGCTTGCGTGCGTGGTGTAACTGTACGCTAAGAGCCTGTTAAGACATGTCAGTCGCTGTAAAAACAGAAAACACACACACATGCACAATTGCTCCTGGGAGCTGGCCCATGATTTAGCTGCTTCATTACCATGTCAGCAGCTAAAATTAACCTTTCTGGTGGACTGTTAACCTTGTGTGTGGGTGTACATGCGTGTTTGAGCACACACATGATAAGGCAAGTGGCTTTCGTCAAACTGAATGTGTCATAGTGTTAAGTATGTTTCAGTGGAATAACAAGGATACAAGAAATGAATACATGACGTGAAGAATACAGGACAGCACATTCAAATCCCACAGATCATCAGGGAGGAAAGCTGCAATAACATGTTTTTATTTTTACTCTAAATCAGTAATCTTTTTTTTTTTCCAGGGTTCGTAAATTGCTCGTTTCAACAATTTCACACAGCACACAATCATACCTGATTTATCAGGACCCCCACAAAATTAGAAAAGTTGTCAGTGCTGTATCATTGCATCTGTACTGTGATATAAATTAGGAAAATCTTGTTTGACATGAAGTTAAAAGCCAAAAAACATCTTGCTAAAGCTAGCAGGTGATGTTACACTGTTGGGTCTAAGGGACAATGTTCCCATCGACTTGCATAAAGACCCTATGAGAACAACTCTGGAGTTTTTGTTTGCGACTAAAAGAACGTTTTAAATACAAGAACACGGGTAAATCAATTTGGCTTTTTGCATTAAGCCTATTCAGTGTCACTCCCACTTTTAAATGATCACTGATGATAGTAGGAAGAACATATACATGATTTATCTAGGGGAAAAAATCGTATTAATTTTAACAACATTATAGAACAGCAATTGGAGAAATCTAGAAAGAGTAGACAAACTATGTTTCCTTATAGTTTTAAACCTTTCCAGTTTAATCTTTCTTTGTGTAGAAAAGTACACACACTTTCGGGGTGTTAACTGATGTTGGGTGCCATCATAGGTGACAATAGTTCTACAAAGGGTGAGTGTGATTCACTCACCCTTTTATAATACCCTCAGTCCCATTGCAGTCTCACAGTCAGACATCATCCAGGGACACTCCAGTTCACTGAGGTCAGTCCAGTTTGATCAAACCTCAAAACCAGCGGAGCGTGGTCCATTTTGCCACTGGGTTTCACTCAGAAGCCCAGGAAACCTGGCTTGCCCTCTGATGCATTGAAAAGCTTGTGTTCAGATCATGTACAGATACTGCAAAGCTTAGCTGTTCACAAGATAACTGTCTCTTACAGAATGTCACATACAAGCACTTCCCATATTAGAGATTCAATGCCAAAGCAGTTTTTCCACTGTAATTTTGAAGCAGTTCTAATCATCTGCCCTTCATACACATAAACACAGACACACACTGGTGCAGACTTTGGCTAAACAAAAACAATAATTTGTTTTCTCGCACTTCACACATCAAACAGGGTACATTTGTACGTGTATGTGTGTGTGTGACACAGTCAGTGTTCTAAATGTCACCATAGCTCAATTTCAATAGACTGGTAAGCTATCGATTGGCAGTAATTTATGGTTTGATGTGCCAAGATGAGCAGCCTAAGACAAGCTGTCCACTTCCCTTTTAAGAGCTCTATTAGAACTCACACTAAAGATGGTCCGCATGCCTGTCACTGAGAGCTAATTTACTCCTACCACAGACCATTTAGACCATTACTGAAACACACCTACACACACACATACATACACATACATACACACAGAAACACAATGATGGAATGACACTTAATGCACACACATCTTTCCCATCTTTACACCAGTCCATCACTTGCTATATTTCTCTCTCCGTTCTTATATATCTCCTCTCATGATACATGTGGAAGCTGTGGCTCCAGTAGCTCCGAGTATGTTTCAAAGGGACATTAAATTTAACATCTAAAGTGAAAGAAGAAAATTAAATTGACCCGCTATTTAATAAAAATGGGACTTTTGTCTGTTCTAGACATACAGTAGGTATGAGAGAAATTAGCCGATGACATGTTTCTACTGGAAAAAAACAAAACATCAAGATCAGAAAATAATTTTATGAATGATTAAAACCACAGCCTTTGGGATTTTAACTTACGTAATTGATGTACATATTTTCCGTAGTGGGCAGCTATTTACAAAATGTACAGTCCCTGTAACATGGGGAATTCATTGACATTCAGTCTCTTATTTTCTACCTTTCTCTCTTCAGCTCCAACAGGACTGTCTCCACCTCAATTACATCCAGTAAATGAAACCACCATTCGAATAGACTGGGATCCCCCAGCCCAACTCAATGGCCCACATCCACTATATCAGGTCTGTAAGAATATTAGCTTATATACAGTATATGTCAATTGGCTTTGTTTGTTGCAGCAGCTCAAAGTTTTCACATATCTCAACGTCTGCTGGATGGACTGCGTCAACATTTTGTACAGATGTATATGAAGCCCAGTCGAAGAATCCTAATGACTTTGGTGACAATGTGACTTTTCATCCACTGTCACCATGTGGTTGACATTTGTGGTTTTGAGTAAAATGTCTCAACAACTGTTGGATGGATTGCCATTAAATTTGCTACACACGTTCAAGTCCCCCTTAGGGTGAATTGTAATCTCTTTGGTGATCCCTTTACTTTAGACTAGTGCCATTATCAGGTCAAATTCTAATTCTATCACTGAATACTGTATATGGAAAACTAATGACACATCATTCATTTATTGTTTCCAGGTGGAGAGGACAGACGTCTCTTTCTCTGACCCACAAGATCCTGTGATCAGGGGAACCAGATTCCCAGGAAACAGTTACTACCAGTTTCCCAGTGACACCCTTCCTGTCAACACTGACTTCACAGGTAAGAATAAATGTCTGGCTACATGCAGATACCTGTGTGTGTATGGGCAGCATGTCTTGTCTACATTGCTATATACTGTACTTGTGCGTATGTGTACACATTCGTTGGTATATTTTTGTGTTGTTCAGCAGTCTCAGTCTTCTAGTGACATTCTTTTAGAATGACTTCCCCAGTCATCTTAAAGGACAATTATCTTTCTGTTTACCAGCATCATTAGAGGGTTGAGCTGCACAGCCAAACATGTTCTGCTTCATCTGAGAACATCACCCAGTCTGACGCTCATAATTAATGACTGCTGATACTAATCAGTGGGATTTGAGCGGGCAAAGCTCTTCGATGCCACTCGAGATTACGTCACTGTCCTGCACAAACCTCGTATTACCAGTTTTGTCTCTCTGTGTCATAGAGACAACCTTTTCAAGTCATGTTAAAACTGCATGATGAAATTTCCTAAATGAATTTACATTGGTGGACAAACTCCTGACTTTGTGTTATCCTTATGTGATCAACCATAATTGAGTCAACAAAGCTCTCTGCATTGGTCTTGTCCTATCAAAAATACTATAATGTTTGCCACTCACAAAGTGGGGTTCCATGTACTGTTTTTTTTTTTTTACATCTGAAATATGTAAGCCTATAGCCCAACATTATGTCAGTGTATAAAAACAGGATTTTGTAAATCCACATATATAGCACCTTTCTAGTCTTCTGACCACTCAAAGGGCTTTACACTACATGTCACATTCACTCATTAACACACTGATGACACAGCATTGGGAGCAATTTGGGGTTCAGTGTCTTGCTCAAAGACCCCAGCCGGAGGAGCCAACCTTCTGATTAGTGGACGAACCGCTCTATCTCCTGAGCTATAGCCCGAAGGCCATTACACCGGCCATATGCAGCACCTGGTATTCCCAGGCGGTCTCCCATCCAAGTACTAACCAGGCCTGACCCTGCTTAGCTTCCAACAAGTTCAGGACTATTCAGGGTGGTATGGCAGTCAGCCGATTTAAGTGTTAGCTTTTAGTGGCCTTTCAGGAAACGAGGGTTTAGAATCAAAAGGAGTAAAATAAATAAGTTTAAAAAAGGGAGGAAAAACGAGTGACCACTTTTTGTGTTTTCAACTTCACTAAAAACAATCTGCTTTAATGAGGGATTAACAACAATTTCCATACATGTGCATACATTTTCACGACCTGAGTGGTTTTTAGAAAATATTATTTTTCTTAAGGTCCTTTGAAGGTCACATATACATCGATAAAGAATGAAAGGAGTGTATTAGAAGAGGTGAGCCACCCTAAAAGATTAAAAAGTAATCCAACCAAATCACGATAATGACTTGAAATTATGTTTATTAAAATAAAAATATGTTTGACTTTTTGTAGACCTTTTTGTAATTCAGTGTCTAATGACTGTTTGGCAATAAATCAGTCATTCAACATAAAAAGAAATTCACATTGCCCACACTAGTCAATTTATGACTATAAGTAGTCATAAATATGTTATGTAATATGTAAATACTTTGTATGTTGAAATACTTTTTTGTATTCTGTGCTCCTCCCTTCTCTAAACTCCTTTCTCAGTATAACTTGTTCTCATGGATGTGATTGTAAACATGTTTGACTGTAGGAATGTGAAAAGGGTGTGGCAGAAACAGAGCATGCATACTAAGCAAACCTTTAATAATGTATAAAGATTACAGATCAGATATTCTTATTATTTGAGCACATTTCTGACCTCTTCTTTGTCCTCTACAAACTTACTTCCATAAAATGATATGGGCCACTTGATAACTCTTTAAATTGTGTTCTTTCAGAGCTAAAAGTTAAAACAGCATCTGGTTGTCTTAATGCAAATCAGCAAAAAACCCATTTCTGGTTAAATGGTAATAAATCCCTAAAGCTGTCATACTTATTAGTCTTATTCTTCATCTTTACTCATGGTTCCTAGGTTCATTGCTCTCTTAGGACACTGTGTTTTTATACCAAATCAACATATTCGATTATTTGACTTATCCATCCTCCTTCAGCACGAAAGTAAATAGATATCTCTGAATACTGCAGGCAAATAGATTATGATTTTTGCTATTGGGAGGTGCCTCTCATCTCCTCTGCTCTCCTCCTTCATAAAGGGTAATGGATCAGACATCACTTTTAGACCGGATCTATTCTGGACCATGAACGTGTCGGCAGTCCTCAAACCATCGCCCTTTCACAACCATCAATACTAATAGCATCATCTACAGACAATTATTCCCATCGAAGCGCATGGAACAGCGAACAAATCAAAGCCAAATTGGATTATGAATGTAATGCAGTGTAATGCCCCCTCGAGAGTCAATTGATCACAGAGGAGAGACTCGTCAATCGTTGATGTCTTATGGAAAGCTAGTAACTCCAACAATGACTACTGTAAATTTTCTTCTTCTTTTCTGTTTTCGTGTTTCATATTTAATAAAAGCCAAAATTTGGATTATGCATTGCTTGGAAATGCGGTTTGTCTTGAGAAAACTTTGCATATGGGGTTCAACCCCAGCCAACATTGATGGAAACAGCACATCATAATTTTTCTCCATCAACATTATGCACCATTATAGGGATATTAATTATATGTTGTTTCCATAAATTGTTCATTGAGGTTCTTACTGCAGGCTTTCTCATTTCCTAAACATGAGAATTAAGGGCACATCTTTGAGCAGGGCCAATATGTTCAATCGTAGTTAAGATTAAGATTTACCATGTAAAATCACATGAAATTTGCCCTTTCACCTGTAATTTTATGACCACTTACATTATTTTTGGCCAAATAGGTTGTTTTCCAGGTACAATTGATGTGATAGAAGTGGATGTTTCCATAAATGATAAGTCTGCTCACTTGAGATTTATGATGCTTCTTAATGCTGAATGAATTTAGGGCACTTGAGGTCAATATTTACCACACTGAATCTTACTTTAGATAAAACAGGACTATAACCATATACAATCATGCTGTGATTATGAATACTCTGTAAGTGCTTGTTTCCATAAATGCATGTTAGTCCATACATCTTATCTATAATGCTTCTGTTTTTAAAACCCTACAATGTGACTTCCTACTCTCCTTGTTCCTATTTGAATTGAGGACTCTGCATCTCAGTTTCAAGTGAAATACGATATTATTCAATAGTCTGTTTAAATGGATATTGGTTTAGGACAGATCCTATTGTCCTCTCTCCTCATTTGTAATTCTTCAGTATTTGAGCATTAAATGGGCTGATTGAAACGAGGATGATGGCCTTCACATATTTTCACTAATCCAGATGTATTTCTATAACTCACAGTAAATGAAGAGAGATGAAACATCACAAACATAGTTTAGGAGAAAAAAAAAGAAGAAAAAATGAATGCGGGAACAAATAGACTTGGATAATTTCCAGACACGTCTAATACAGTACATTGCTGCAGCACCACTGCAGCAACTGAGCAGGAAAGAGGGAAATGTTAAATGATACAAATTATTTTTCCTTAATTAATATGATTGATTGCCAGGCATTGACGTTGAGAGGAGAGGGGGAGAAATGTGTGAAGGGAAAGTTTGCACAGACATCATTAGTTTTTCCCCATTTAAAGATTAATCAGAAGAGGCTGGGCTCTTTAATTCTGTCATTTGTATATTTAATGGGCTGCTGCAGAATCTATGGGTGTAATTAGCTAGCTGCCGCGCTCTCATTAATACGCCAGGCTCTGATTAATGCCAGCACAGAGCTAACATGACTGGAGTTATTCAGGTTATGTTGTGTAGATGATTGCACACAACCTCCACTGTTTACTGAGACAGAGAGAGGAGAAACAATACAATAACACATGGAACAATACTACCTAATAAATAAGACTTTACTTAAAACTGTAAGTGGCTGAATATTGCTCATGTAACGTATTGTGGAACATAACATAGATCCTCTTTGTTCGCTTAGGCACAGGAAGAGGGAAGCAGTACATTAAGTATGAACAATAAACTCAATTTAAAACAGTCCTTAATCATTTTTAATTTACAAAAGACTCAATTTAAACAATATAATTCTCTCACTTAACAACTCTAGAGTTGATGGTGTGAGTATAATTGGTTTTATGTACTTGTAGGTCATAAAATGTATTCTTTACAGTACATTAAGTAATACATCACTCATGAAAAAAACTTTAACTTTTTGACACAACAGCACTGTAAAACAACACAGGTTATGCTAATTAACAAAGGTTTCTTAAAAGTATTTTTTTTTTTCATACGCTTAATGTTCTGGACAGAAGGAAGCTTGACTGACTCCATAGTCTGCATTGCATGCTCTAGATTACACACAGCCTAGCCCAGTTTGCTATCCCTTGCCACTTTACAAATGGCTTATAAACAAGAATCTGCAACATTAAAATGTTTGTTATGGATTATATATGCCATGTTTCTTCATCTCAGGCTGTGAGGCCTAAGGATGGTTATTGTCTGGTCAGTAAATCTTTTCAACACTTTGGCCCAGATTGCTGAGATATAGGCCTGCTCTGTATACTTTTTAAAGTTTTCTTACACACCTTAAAAATTAAGAAGGCCTCGCGACCCCCTGTGAAGCTTAAGCAACCCCTAATGGGGGTCCTGACCCCCCAGGTTGGAACCACTGCTATATTAGATCACATTGGATGTAATGTTGCCTCTGTGGTCCACTAGCGAAGTCCAAGACTTTATTCATGTTTCCTGAATTTGCATTTTTTCACTATCAATGAAAAGTGAACTTAATAAGTACCCCCTTGTAATTTGTTCTTTCTTAATTTTGGAAAATATTAAGCCAGTGGATAAAATAATTACTTTGGGGAAGACTATAGTATATCAAATTGAAATATATCTAAGTGATTAGATTGTCTTTACTTTTTTACAATCAAGTATTTGTTAGCTGTTGAAGATTAAATATTGACATCTTCTGGCAGCAGCTGTGCATGTAGATGCAGCCGTCGCTCCTTCATTTTTGTTGTAATCATTAT